AGTCATCATGGTGGGAGTATTTGCGCGACCGGAACTTTGCCTCGTCAGCGGCTTGTGTCCTTTCATAACCGTTATCTCCTTCTCTTCTATTTGGTTTCTGTTGTCATCTTCGAATTCTGATTGACTACTAATATCATTTATAAAAGTATTCTGAGCTTTTTCTTCAGACTTTGAGTAATTTGGCGTTGGATTTGATCCATCTACGACGTCGCTGATGACGTTAGGTTTGTCTTTTCGTACAAACGTCGTCGTTATATAATTATCAGGTCCAATATCTTTTATAAACATAATTTTATTCCTACTTACACTAGGTGAACCAGGTACATCGTTAGTTCTTCTATCATCGTTTAACTTAGATAATTTCATCGAAGAAACAGTCGACTCGCATAAGCTGCCATCGGTCTCAGGTGTAGCCAGAGGGGCCACGTTTTGACCCTCTCTCCAAAAACTTGTAGTCGAGGACATAGCTACCTGTTTACCGGAGAAAAACTCCCCCGGCCTGAAGTCATTAATTCCTCCTTGTAGAACAGATGAATTGTTAATATTTTTATCGGTAAAAAACTGTTCGTCTGTGTCTATCAACTCGAACGTAAACGCGTCTTCGGGCTTTGTGAGTTTTTTTGGCTTTCTGTGCCTCGGTACCTGCGGTGGAGACAATGCGTGCATTCTCTCCAGCGGTTTGTGCGATTGTCTTGGCGGTAGGGGAGGTACCGGAGATTTTTCCGCTTCATTTGGCACGTTGGCACCTTCCACGTCATATACGAATTTCATTATTTTGCAAGGATTCTTTGGCGACCATATTTTATAATACTCGGTTTCGGGCGAAGTGGGCGAGTCGAAACCGCTATTCGTTTTCGATTTCTTTTTAACGCCATTCAAAGTCATGCAGCCGGCGGTGTCGACGGGGGGCGGGTATTTTTTCTTCACTCCGGAGGACGTCGGCCTACATTCTATAGCAAGATGAGATTCACTATTTACAGACTGAGATTCATTACCTAAGTTACTAATAAAAGATTTGCTAGGATCACATTTTGTTTGTTCGAGTTTGTTCTCGCTACTAGCTAAAGCGCTAATTGAGCATTTGTCGACGTTGTCGCTAAGATGCTTGATGTCTTGACTGGTGCCCGATACGTGCTCCACTCGAGGGACGTTCTCGGAGTTCATCTCGAAGCTCTCGTTGTTGTAAGAGAAAGGCGACACGCGGTCGCCGCTTCGTTTCCTTGACATCCCTTCTTTAAGACGAAGAGGCAGTTTCTTAAGGTCGACTTTGAAACGCGGCGGGAGTGTGGAGGACTCCGCCACGCAGTCGTCGCTCTCGCCATTGTAATACCGGAAGCAGAGGAGCTGCTCGCAATCTGGAAAATATAACATAAAAAGCATGATTAAACGCAATCTTTCGAGTAGCTTTATATCACGCGTTAGGTTCAATGTGTAAGGGCAATATAATTACCTTCATAGGGCTGATTGGGCTCATCAAGCAGCCACATTATGTCGCCGGTGGCACATCCGGTCGCCGGCACGCGCCCGACCACGCCGGCGACGCCCGCCGACTCTGTAACAAACATTAAAACATATTATTACCACCGTTACAACGTCAAACGGTTTAGAATTGTCCGTTAAGAAGCAACAACACAAACTGATCGATGCGTCATTGATGTGGAACTAATATAATTAAGATCGAATTCTCTGCATATACAATATAAAAACGCAACATGTATGTTAACTATAGATGAATTCCAAGACATTACCTCCATAAAATAATGTCGATGAATTCCAAAACGTCTAAGAAAACCAATAAAATGCA